GTTCCATGCCCCGGGGACCCCGATATTCTAGAAGGTTCCATCACTTGGGGACCCCGACATTCTAGAAGGTTCCATCACCCGGGGCCCCCGACATTCTAGACGGTTCCATGCCCCGGGACCACGACATTCTAGAAGGTTCCATCACTCGGGGACCCCGACATTCTAGAATATTCCATGCCCCAGGGACCCTGACATTCTAGAAGGTTCCGGGAATAAAACCCACCATCACTGCCGGCAATCCTCTGATGGTCAGGCGGATCACAGTGACAACCATCAAGAAGATTTCCCTCATTTTACTCTCACTTCCTGTGGTGTCTCTGGGACAGGAAGTGAAGGGAAAGTCCTCCAACAGGGTACAGACAGCAAAACAATTTAACCCTTTCCTTCCAAACCCAACAATAATAAGGTTCTGGCTCCAGATACATATTATCTACCCGCAGACAGGGTTCTCCTTCTCTGGTTCTATGACCTAATCATAAAGATTCAGTCCTTACACATGGTCCTCAGTAGGCCCTGTGACGTCATTGGCTCTCACAGATGTGATTTCCTTCTGATTTTTCAATGGAGTAACCCATAGCAACCAATCGGAAGCCATCTTGCGTCAGCCTGACTTCAGCCGGGTGAATTCTGATTGGTTGCCCACGGTTACTGTGTATTATCCATCTTCATGAGCGGGGGATGTGGAGCCCCGGACTACTAAACACCCCCCCCATACACCTACCTACTGACCGACAACAGGAGGCCCGACTACTGACACCGGCTCATCCCACTGTGCAGAACACGGCCGTTACATCACCATGGCAACCACAAGCTACTCCATGGCAACCGCAGGCTATTCAGCAGGTGCTACGGTATCCACTACAGATCAAACCTAACCCATGAAGGGAGCAACCAATCAGAGGGGCGTGTCCTGGTTACCACGGGTTACCGTGCTTCACATGTCACCATAGAATAAGACTCTTCACAACTCCCACTGTGCGTGATGGCAGGAAATCCCCGTCCATACAGACCCCCGAATTATGTGTGTGATCACATTCACCTCCATATACAATCCTCCAGGTCACCCCGCACAGGACCCCCCTGACACCCCCAGGTCACCCCGCACCAGACCCGGTTCCTCCCCTCCCCCATCAGATCCTCCTACACTATTATAAATATAAGATTCCTCGGCTGAGGACGATTCTCCATCACAGGCCGGAACCAAAACCTGAGAGGGTGACACCGGCCCGTATGGGGTCACAAGGAAAGATCTTCCCTGAAATAAATCATTCGTATCCTACAATACACACAGCCCGGAACCACCGGGGCCCCAAGAGTTCAGGCCGGGGCCCCGGTGTTTCTGTGGACTGTCACATTGTTTACTGGCTGATTGTGTGCGACCTCCAAACCGTCCCCCCCATTGTGAGAACCGCCGCGTCCGGGGAAATGGCGCCAACTCATCACATTCCCGGAGAGAAAAGAGAGACAGGCCAGGAAAACCCCAACACAATAATGGAGGCCATGCCCCGCCCTCTGCTGACCCACCGCGTTCCAGCGTGACCTCATTCCCACCGCCGCTGGAAGCGTCCACTGTCCCTGGTCACCAATAGAGCCAAGGCGACCCCGAGGACCAAGAGCTTCCTTGCTGTTCCATATTTCCATCATCAGACTTCCTATCTGTATTTCAGACATAGCACCCCTACCGAACAACCCACTGTGCCCATTATGAGGGGCCCCCACCATCCCTGTGCTGAGTTCCCGGGTCTGTACTCCCGGAGCCCGCACTGACCCTCCCGGAGCCCTCACTGACCACCTGAGAGCCCTGACTGACCACCCGGAGCCCTCACTGACCACCTCAGAGCCCTCACTGACCACCTGAGAGACCTCACTGACCACCTGCGAGACCTCACTCACCACCTGAGAGCCCTGACTGACCACCCAGAGCCCTCACTGACCACCCGGAGCCCTCACTGACCACCTGAGAGCCCTCACTGACCACCCAGAGCCCTCACTGACCACCTGAGAGACCTCACTGACCACCCAGAGCCCGCACTGACCACCCAGAGCCCGCACTGACCACCCGGAGCCCGCACTGACCACCCGGAGCCCTCACTGACCACCTGAGAGCCCTCACTGACCACCCAGAGCCCGCACTGACCACCCGGAGCCCTCACTGACCACCTGAGAGCCCTCACTGACCACCCAGAGCCACCACTGACCACCCGGAGCCCTCACTGACCACCTGAGAGCCCTCACTGACCACCCAGAGCCCTCACTGACCAACTGGAGCCCTGTCACAATCTGGGATCGGGCTCGGAGTCCAGTAGCTGAAGCAGCCGGCACGTTCGTGGTGTAACAGGCCGGGTTCGGTACACAAGCAGAGGGTAGTGGCGGAGGAGCGGGCAGAAGCGTAGTCAGCGAACAAGCCGAGGTCAGGAGCCAAAAGGTATCGGTTATGAAGCGGAAGACGATGAGAGTAGTCGGTGAATCAGCAGCCAAAGGTCGGTACACGGGTAGCAGTATGAGAGGATTGTATCACAGAGGGAGCAGGAAGCAAGATATTGTCAGGAGCACAATAATCTGGCAAACAGGAAGTGCAGAGGCGTGGCTTAAATAGGGAGGAGCGAGGAGTTCAGAGTTCAGCAGAAACCTGAGGATTACACAGGAGATCAGGCAAAGAGCTCTCCAAGGTTCTAAGGTTGCTCAGCAGGTAGAACCACCGCCAGCTACAGCAGAGGCCCCGGGTTCAGATCCGGATCCTGAGAGCCCGCACTGGCCACCTAGGAACCTGAGGCTGCAAACCCGTAGCTTCATATTATTCTGCATTGCTGTATAATGTATTGCTGGGAGTTGTAGTCCTCTATAGCTGGCGGTATTCTGCAGG